GCAGTTCCAACAACCTTTCTGGGTAGAAGTCTTTCCTGCCATGGCATCTTCCCTGTGTTGAAGTTGCTGGCATTGAGTTCTCTTGTGTACAGGTTTGTTACAGTACCAGCAAAGTCCCTCAAACCTCTCTGAAAGCTGACCTTTTCTGGCCTTGAATTCTGATGACTGTACCAACCTTAGTACCTCTGTGCTGGACTTAACGTAGGATTCAAATTCAAGAGCTCTGGCCATTGCATCCTGCATACTAGAGGGGTGTGCTTGCTTCACTTGTATCTTCAGTTGTGGACTGTCCAAGGCATCTACAAACTGATCCCTCAACAACAGCTTCAGGATATTTGGTGGTGCAGTTGGGTAGGCCTTGTGTGCCATACTTCCCAAATCCTGTGCCAGCTCTTGCAGGCTCTCCTCTTTAGCACGGACTCTAGTCCTAAATCTAGCCCTGTAGACTTTGGACTGATTTTGAGTTACATACCAGAGTTCTAGAGCAGCTACCAATGCTCATGCCTGTCGTCTGCTGACAACTGACCAAGTATTTCCAGTGGTTGTCCCTTCAGGCTCGTTGCCAAGTACGCTGCTTTCTGCTCCTCTGTCCATCCATTTATTTCTGCCAAGAGCTCAAATTGTGCTCTATATGCTTCCCACGATGCCTTCCCATCGAATTCCTGTGGCTTCCTTTGTACTAGATCGCCCTTATTGCTGACAACACTCATGTCTGGGATGTGACTTCTAACAGGACTGAAGATGTCTGCTTTAGGGTTTAGCTGCAGGGTCTGGAAGGGGCTTCCTGTTGTCTGGGGCTGATTAGGTTTATGGTTAATATATCCTCCCTGTGTAAAAGACAGTAAATCGTTCTTTAATGTATTTAATTCACTTTGAAATTTACTAATCTTTTCCATTTGTGTATGCTGGCTTTTTCTCAACTGTTGGAGACTTCTTGTTTATGTTCTTTCTCCTCCAACCACTGATGTGGTCTCTCTTCTTGTTTATTTTCTTTCTCCTCCAACCACTGCTGTAGCTTCTCTTCTTTTTTCTTTTATTTCCTTTCTCCTCCAACCACTGCTGTAGTCTTTTTTCTTGTTTATTTTTTTTCTCCTCCAACCACTACTGTAGCCTCACTTCTTGTTTCTTTTCTTTCTCCTCCAACCACTGCTGTAGTCTCTCTTCTTGTTTCTTTTCTCGTTTTTCTTGTTTCTTTTCTTTTTCCTCCAACAACTGCTGTAACCTCTTTTGTTTATTTTGCTGTTCGAGCTGTCACTGTTGCAGGTTTTCTTGCTACTGCTGTTGTTTCTCTTCTTGTTTCTTTTGCTGTTCTTGTATTCCTGCCATCAAATCTGCTAAGTCATAGTTTGATTTGCCACTTCACTTCTCATTTCCATATTTTTTCTCTATTCCACTCTCTGATACCAATTTGTTAGTATCTGCTTGTTTGTTGATTTCCAGTATAAATTCTTTCCGAGAAACTTCAGCGATACAAGTCCTTTCTTGATTAACCCAGTCTATTCTTCCTCGATACAAACTTTTATAACACACACACTTTACTTAAGGTGCCTACTGTTCGCTTGACTCCATTATCTATCTGCTGCTGGCAGGCAAATTCATGATCATTCGAGAAACTCCAGCGCACATGCTCCCAGTGTCGTGTGACTTCCGCTGTCGTAACACAGTGTAACTCTTGTGCATGTATCATCTACCCATTCAAAAAAGACATCGACTTACTAAGCAAATTAACAATTCACAAAATTACACTTTCTTCTCTGAAATTATTATAAATGTTTGAGTAGTGGCTATTTGATCGTTTTAAGTCAATTTAAAGACTGAACTCTTCCATTTTGGAAATTAATTTGTGCTTATATAAACTTATTATTTTTATCTTTTTGAATGAAATATGGTATTTGATTGACTAAAATAAGTGTTTTCAAAGTTGGAATAGTTTCATGGCTTTATTATATGTTTATATATCAACAAGTAGAACTCAAAAGGTAATCACAGCAACGGTTGTTTCCATATGACGGACAGTGACCAGATTTTTGCAAATATCTAACATAGTTATGTTTGACATATAGATTTTGATGATGTATATCATCTTTCAAAATGTTTAGTCATTGTTTCTGTTCTCACAGATGAAATTAAGCCATTGATTGTAAGGACTTAGATGGATGTTTCTTTAGTTTCGATATTACTACCCCATGCAACATTTGCCCTTTTTCATATTGTTACGTCTCCGTTCGTTAGTTAACTTTCCGTAGCTTCGTTTGCGACGAAACTTTAGCGACACAAGTCCTTACTTAATAAAACTGGTTTATTCTTTCCGAATACAACTATACGATACACTTAATTTCAATATTCGCGCTAAAACAAACACTATAACGAACGAACGTTAACTTCAACAATACCCTGTGACTGCAGTTCAATTACTCACTATCTACACACACATTATTCCCCCGTCATGTTGTCACCCTCTTTTAT